TTCACCCAAAGAAGCACTACTAACCACCTCCTGCCACTAACACATCAACAAATCATGTAAATATTCCTTATTGGAGGGTATAACATCCCAATACTTGAAAAAATGCCAATAAACTGGCAACAATGTGTACACATGGTGCACTCGTGCATGCAGTGCAGGTTATTTTTTGTCAGATACTGATAGCTCCCGGTTATAAGTCGAATCCCGGTTGTAAGTCGACCCCCACCCTTTCTCCAGCTATTTTAAGTCGGAAAAGGTCAACTTACAACCAGAAAAACACCGTAAGTGGGAGTGTCCCGAAAGCTATTGCTTGCATGGACACGATTTGGGGTTGCGAGCAGTAGAATATGAGGTAGGGCGTTATTGTGGTGGATGGAATGAGCAACCGCTATGCGAGAGAAGAGAGTGGGCTGCTTAATGCTGTGTAGACGGTCAGATTGGTTAATAGAGAGGTTGCGCACAACGAAAATTCGTAAGACTTCGACCGTCCAGGTTCGAGCAACGAAAGTGGCTACGAAGATCAGTCCAAGCTCGACCGAAACAGAGCAGATCTGCAAAAATATTTTTCGTAAAGTGGAATACTGAAATGCTGATATTTTACAACTCCTTGTCTTGACTCTCCGCGTCCGCCGCGTCGACCTTGGTCGACCCACTACGAAAAAGTTCACACGTGGTGCGCACCTCACGGTTTACGGATATTCGTTACAATGTAGCTTTTTTCGTTAAAAATATTCGTTATGATGCTACGAATTTTCGTTGTGCGCAGCCTCTCTATTATGCATGTAGAGAGGGAGGCGGGTGCAGAATCATGCGGTTTTCCACTGGATTCTCTCTAGCTTGTCTAAGGTTTTGTGGGATATGGGGGTTATAGCGATGCTTAAGATTACAGGGTAAGACGTGTGAAGTCTGGATGGGCAAGAGCAGAAATGGTAAGGGTTGATCTTAGGCGGAATGGCAAGTTGAATGACTTGAGTGATAATACTTCTTTGTTGTTGTTTTTTTATAAATTTTATTCTTAAGATGGCCTGTGGCCAATAGGAGATGTATTGTTGTTGTTGTTGTTGTTGTTGTTGTTGTTGTTGTTGTTGTTGTTGTTGTTGTTGTTGTTGTTGTTGTTGTTGTTGTTGTTGTTTCAAATCTTTATTCTCACGATAGCCTGTTGTTGTTGTTGTTGTTGTTGTTGTTGTTGTTGTTGTTGTTGTTGTTGTTGTTGTTGTTGTTGTTGTTGTTGTTGTTGTTTGAAATCTTTTATTCTTACACTCTCTCTTGTTGTTGTTGTCGTCGGTCGTCGTCGTTGTTTTTTCTGTGGAATTGTGTGTGTGTGTGCGTGTGTGTATTGGTGGGCATGTGTGTGTGTGTGTGTGTGTGTGTGTGTGTGTGTGTGTATGTGTGTATATGTGTGTGTGTGTGTGTGTGTGTGTGTGTGTGTGTGTGTGTGTGTGTGTGTGTGTGTGTGTGTGTGTGTGTGTGTGTGTGTGTGTGTGTGTGTGTGTGTGTGTGTGTGTGTGTGTGCGCGTTTGCGTTTGCACCTCGCAGTAAATGCCTTATTTGCACGTTTCCAGAACGTGGTGGAAGGCAGAAGTCCCAATGTGGATACCTTGTTGACGCACACCAATAATGGTGTGGGGAAGATATGCTCTCCACACATGTTTGCGGTCTCTGTTCGCATTCCTTTCTCCAGCCTTTGTTTTCTTTTTCGCTTTTTTCTCGTTCCATTTTGATCTATTTTCCAACTTTTCCAGTATAATTATAATGCATTGTTTGTGGCGAACCGTGAATTTTGTTTTGTATTTTTGAGGCCGAAGTATACTTTCTGAGTGGTCATGCAGCGCACAAAGTTCACATCATTTCCTTTCACCTATAGCTTATGGGCAGTAAACTGGAACATGGCTCGAAGGGCACTGTGATTTTCCGATAATATCACGGACATTTGCTGAAAAGTGCATAAAATAATGTTGAATCTACTCGTTCGTGTGGTTTTCCTAGCGAGGCACACCTACACGCACTCTGGTAATATGGAGTTGTAACCGGGATAATATCCTAGTTAGTGTGGTAGTGTATTTGTGCAATAGGTGGGGGGGGGGGCACAGCTGATTAACTAAGCTCCATTAGGGACGTTTTGCTCTACGTAATTACGTGTGAAAATAACGCAGGAACTGCACGTAGTTTTCATACGTAAAAACCAGCGCTGTTAAGTTTCGCTATACGTGATTTATACAAAATCGTCAGGCTCTCCATCCTAGTGTATGAATGATTTCTTCACGACTGCTAAGCATGCTTTGTTTCTTTGGAGACGCGTTGGCTGCATGCGTCCACCATACATGTATGCAACACGAACCGAAATCGCGTTTTCCATTTTGGCTTTCCACGTGGTGTGTGGTTGGCTTGAATGTTGCCATGGACAAATCCAGAAAGTACGAAATAGATTTCAAAAATTCCGAAGGAAAACCCAACGTGGGAAAGAGCTTTCATACGGGAATCCGTAGAGAGATTTACCTAT